CCAGATCATGGGGTTTTCTTGGCAAGATTTCTTCAGAGCAGGGTGACCCAGATGTCTTAACCGCAAAGGAGGACAAGGCACCGTTAAATGTAGGATATTCGAAAAAGAAATGTTAGTAGTAGGACACAACCAAACACAAAGCTCAAAACACTCATAGAAATATTAAATCCATGCTTCTTTGTTACGCTCAGAATGGAGGACATTTTGGAATTCCTCTTGGACAAAAGGCTGAAATGGAGGACAAGTCCTGGAGGACCTCTGGTCACCCTGTGTTTTCTTGGCAAGATTTGTTCAGAGGTCTGCCATTGCTTTGCCCTGAGGCTGAGAGAGTGTGACTTGCCCTAAGGTCACCCAATGGGTTTCAAGCAAGGTGACCAGATATCCTCTAACCGCAAAGGAGGACAAGGCACCATTAAATGTAGGGCAGTCAAGAAAAAAGGAGGAGGACATGACCAAATATAAAGCTCAAAACACAGAACGTAAATTCATGCTTAGCCATGCTCAGAATGGGAGGACATTTTGGAATTCCTCCTGGACAGAAGGCTAAAATGGAGGGCGTGTCCTGGAAAAGGAGGACGTGTCTGGTCACCCTGTGTGTATGTGTGTTCACTTTCTGATTTATGGCGACCCTATCATGGGGTTTCCTCGGCAAGTTGTTGGGGGGGGGTGGCATTGCCTTCCCCTGAGGCTGAGAGAGTGTGACTCGCACAAGTAGGTTTTCTATGGCTGAGGGAGGATTCGAACCCAGGTCTCCAGAGTGGGAGTCCCAACACTCAAATCACTTTCACGGCTTTCATGACGTGGGACTCAGTCCCTGAGGGGTCTCACTGTGGGTGTGGGGGGGGGGCTGTTTATGAGAAGAGCGGTCCTCACACCTTTTAGTCTGCTTTCCAACTGACACCTTTTGGGGAGCGAGGAGCCCTATAAGGGCGGCTGGGAGATGGGAGCGCGCTGTTACTAAGGGCCGCGTCGTTCCTGCCGCTTTGCCCTGTTACTAGGGGCCGCGGAGGACGCTGATTGGACCAGCCGCCGCTGCTGCCGCGAGGGCTGCTTCGCTCTCATGACTACCTTCTTGTCTCCGCGCACGTGACCTTCAAGGGGGAAGAATGGCCACGAGCCGCCGGGGCGGAGCTTCGGATGCCGACTCAACCGCCGACTTGGGAGCCCAGTACATCACGCGGGGGCCCGACTCCGCCCGAAGGCACCCGAGGTGAGCCGAAGACTCGAGAGGCTCTGGCTGCTGCATCATCCATCTGCACGGCGGGAGTAAGACCCCGCTTTGACACCGCTTCAACTGCCATGGATCCAGGCTGGGAGTGGCAGTTATATGTCCAAAACACACTACAGAAATAATCCAGTTTGAGACGGCTTTAAGTGCCTTATCTCAGTGCTAGGGAAGTCTAGTGTCTGAGAGACATTGAGCCTTCTCTGTCAGAGAGAGCTCTGGGGCCACAATAAACTGCAATTCCCAGGATTCCCTAGCACTGAGCCAAGGCAAGTTAAAGCCGTCTCAAACTGGATTATTTCTGCAGTGTGTTTTGGACCTTTGGTTTTCCAATAAAGGTTGAATCCATGGATATGGAGGGAAGGCTGTATGATGGTGACCCAGAGCTCCTCTGCAAAGGAGGACCTGGTGCCACAAAATGTAGGACACTCGAGAAAAATGTAGGGAAATGACCAAATAAAATCTAAAAACATTCATAGAAATATCAACTTATGCTTCCTAGCCATGCTCAAAAGGGAGCTAGTTATGGAATTCCTCCTGGACAGAATGCTGAAATGGAGGATGTGTCCTGGAAACAAACTACAAATCCCAGAATTCCATAGCCAGGAGGTGTGGCAGTTAAAGCGGTGTAAAATCAGATTATTCCTTAAGTGCAGATGCAGTTTCTGTCTGGATGTTATCACTTGGGGAAATCCCATGCAGAAACAGTTTTAAATAGGAAAAAGACCCCAAAAATAAGTAGATTTTCAGATGATGTTGCTGTTAAAGTGTGCTTAACCTGAATGGAAAGTAGTCAAAGCTGCTTCTTTTTACTTTTGGAAAACCCCAAAAGTAAAAAGCCGCTTTTGACTACTTTCCATTTGGGTTAAGCACGCTTTTGACAGCAATGTGTATGAAAATCTACCTGCTTTTGCGGGGTTTACCCCACCTTTTAAATTCTGTTTCTGCATGGGATTTCCCCCATGTGGTAAGGTCCTGTGTTTGGTTTGCTTTTTCTCTCATTTTGGAAGGAGGCATTCAGGTGGTATTAACAGGTGGGACTGGCTTATTGGTGGCATCCTCAGAGGAAGCAGAACACCGAAGAAAAGAAATCCATTTTTAAAACCAACCAACCAATCTAGATCTTGACTTTTGGAAGCTGGCAAAAAAGCCCTTTTGGAGGAAATCACGCAAGTTGATATGGAAAGAGGCATGGAGTTGGTATAACAGGTGGGACTTACTTATTGGTGTGATCTCTTCAAGAGGCTACAAAATACCCAGGACAGACATACATTTTAAGACAAATCCATCTAGATCTTGAAAGCCCTTTTGGAGGAAATGACACAAGTTGATATGGAAGAAGGCACTCAGGTGGTATATAACAGGTGGGCTTGCTTATCGATGACATCCTCACAGGTAGCAAAACGCCTAGGAACAGGCATCCATTTTAAAACCAACCAAACAATCTAGATCTTGAGCTTTGGAAGCCGGCAGACAAACCCAACACTCACGCAAGTTGATATGGAAGGAGGCATGGAGGTGCCATGGTGGTATAACAGGTGGTTGTTGTGTACCTTCAAGTCGTTTCCGACTTATGGCAGCCCTAAAGCAAACTTATCACAGGGTTTTCTTGGCAAGTGTCTTCAGAGGAGGTTTGCCATTGCCTTCCCTGAGGCTGAGAGAGTGTGACTTGCCCAAGGTCACCTATTACCATGGCTGAGTGGGGATTTGAACCCTGGTCTCCAGTGTCATTATCCAACACTCAAACCACGATGCCACACGGGTGGGACTGGTTTGTTGGTGGCATCCTCAGAGGCTGCAAAACGCCCAAGAGAAGAAATCCATTTTGAAACCATCTAATCCAGATACTGAGTTTTGGAAGCTGACAAAGAGTCTCTTTTGGAGAAAATCACACCAGTTAATATTGAAGGAGGAATGTGGGAGGTATAACATGGGAATGACTTATTGGTGTGACCACCTCAGACGCAACAAAACACACAAGATGAGAAATCCATTTTAAAACAAACAAACTAATCTAGATCTTGATTTTTGGAAGTCAGCAAATCACACAAGTTGATATTTTTGCAAATTTCAGGCCTTACTGAGCCTTTGAAAGAGACCCTCAGTCTTTATTACATTTGCACCCCTCTCTTCCTCCTTCAGTAGTTGACCACACAAGTTACCTTTGAAAAGAAAGGAGAGAGCTTTACCTTTGCACACATGCTTCTGGTTAACCATGGCCCAAAACACACTACAGAAATAATCCAGTTTGAGACAACTTTAACTGAGTGCTAGGGAATCCTAGGAACTGTTGTTTATTGTGGCACCAGAGCTCTCTGACAGAGATGCCTAAATGTATCACAAAAATACAGTTCCCAGAATTCCCTAGCAGTGAGCCAGGGCAGTTAAAGCAGTTCAAACTGGATTATTTCTGCGATGTGTTTTAGACCCATAATAACCTTTTTTCTATCCAGACAGAAGAAGAGGACTCCCTAGCACCACCTGATCGAAACAAAATGCTGCCGCTTTTTCATTTCTGTTCCTTGGGATGATAAAGGAGAAAGAAGGACAAATGAGGTGATGATAAAACATGATTGCAGATAGGAGATGATGTCATCTGGAGCCACTAATAAAATTCTGTCCTTGGAGGAGGATGCTTACATGTTTTATTCTTAATTAATTTTTTTTTACAAAAGCCTCATTTGGCAGTACCCGTTGTTAAACAAGAGGGGTGGTGTGTTTTTGTGTGTGCATGAGAGAGATGGTGCTGAAGCATCCTTGAAACTCAAATTGGCTTTCCTTTGCTTTAGCCACCAGTATAAAACCTTCTCATTGTGCAAAAGAGCTAGATGTACAAGTTGCAAAACAGTGTTTAAAGAATTCCCTTGAAAGACTAGATGAGGAAGTCTGAAACGCTGCTTCCCACAGTGAATAGCTCAGGCAGGCCCTAAGAAAAGTTGTGGCCTGAGCAAGGAGTGATTTTGTTGCATCCTACCTGCTCTCCCTTCCATCACTTCCGCAATATTGCCAAAGTGTGTGGCGTATGTCAATTAACTGCAAACCCTAGCGAAATAAAGTTACATTCCACCACTGATTGGATGCTCAAGTCTCATTATGTAGAGTTGGGTAATAAAAATGGTGTCTCTTATATAAAATGGCAAAATCAAAACTTTCTTTTTGAAATTTTTATTTTTAAAAAATATTTTCATGCTGTGGGTGACTGAATTCTTGGGTAAGGAATCCATGGATATGGAGGGCCAGCTGTACTATTTTTGGAGGAGCATTGGCATGCTGCGTCCATCACTGAGAGTCCCTAAATATAAATGTAAATAATAGGAAGGTGCCTTTGACTAATGAGAGCACCTAAGCACTCTCTTCAGCAGGGGTGGGCAACTGGATCCCTCCAGCTCTCTCTTCAGCAGGGGTGGGCAACTGGATCCCTCCAGCTCTCATTAGAATTGCATCTCCCAGCATCCCTTGCTATTGCCTATGCAAACTAGGGCTGATGTCCAGTCCATCAGTGTTTGGAAAGCCATAGTTGCCCATGCATGGTCTGCAATGCCTGGCAGGAGCTTTCTGGAGACTTGAGAGAAGTCTTTCCATGCAAGAAGCTGGGACTTTCTGCAGCCAACGCATTTGTGCTACTGTACATTGCTTTTTTACAGCCTCTGAGATTTCATCAGGCCTTGCTCACAACGTTGGCACTGCAAGCCAACAAGGCATTTTAATGAAGACAACAAGTTAATCAGAAAAATGCGGTTGAGTAGATCATACATAAAGAGAATACATAATGAGAACCAGTGTGGTGTAGTGGCTTGAGTGTTGGACTGTGATCCTGGAGACCAGGGTTCAAATCCCTGCTCGGTCGTGAAAACTCACTGGATGAAACCTGAGCAAGTCACGCACTCTCAGCCTCAGAGGATGGCAATGGCAAACCAATGAACCAATCCTTTGAACCAATCTTGCAAAGAAAACCCCATGATAGGGTCTCCTTAGGATCTCTATGGGCCTTTGCAGACTGCCAGAAATAGTGCAAATTGAGTCCACTTTAACTGCCCTGGCTCAGTGCTAGGGAATCATGGGAACTGTAGTTTATTGTGGCACCAGAGTTCTCTGACAGAGAAGGCTCAATGTCTCAGAAAAAAATATAATTCCCATTATTCCCTAGCACTGAGCCAGGGCAGTTAAAGTGGACTCAATCTGCACTATTTCTAGCAGTCTGCAAAGGCCCTAAAATGGGCATAAGGGCTGATAAAACACTATCCTATAAGTCGGAAATGACTTGAAGACGGACAACAACAAACAAATTGTATCATACATTAG